AATGTCTTTTTTTTTTTTTTATCTTTGCTATTTTCAAATTTTAAAAATGTGCTTATTTTTTTCCTCCCGGTGATTTTCTCTGCTCGTGATGTTTCTTTTTTCCTCTGTCTGGTACCACATCTTGTTCTCCATTTACCTTTTTCGACTTCTAAAATATAATTGTAGCTGGATAACTGCAAGGATTAAAAACAATAATATTTAGTCTTGAATTTAAAAAGTCCTGACTTCAAGTTTAGCTCAAATTTCCAAGTGTTCTGGAATTGTTCATTTCATTTTCGGAGCGCGTTCAGCTTATCACACCATTCGGCTCCTTGTTAGCGACAGTTTAAAAGCCGTAAAAAGGCGAACGCACACACTCACTGTGTGTGTCCTCTGTGTTCCCGGCTGCAGGTTATGAGGACGGCAGGATGGAGTTCCCAGACCACAGCAGACATCTACTCCAGTGTCTGAGCGAGCAGCGGCACCAGGGCTTCCTGTGCGACTCCATGGTGCTGGTGGGCGATGCCCAGTTCCGCGCCCACCGCGCCGTGCTGGCCTCCTGCAGCATGTACTTCCACCTGTTCTACAAGGACCAGCTGGACAAGCGAGACGTGGTGCATCTCAACAGCGACATCGTGACGGCGCCGGCCTTCTCCCTGCTGCTGGAGTTCATGTACGAGGGCAAGCTGCAGTTCCAGGACCTTCCCGTGGAGGACGTGCTGGCGGCGGCCAGCTACTTGCACATGTACGACATCGTGAAGGTGTGCAAGAAGCGCTTGAAGCAGAAGGCCACGGCGGAGGCGGACAGCACGCGTAGGGAGGACGATGGCGGCTCCAGCTGCTCCGACAAGGCCGACAGTTTGTCCGACGGTTCGACGGGGCAGCCCGCCACGGCCGACCTGCTGCACAGCGACGAAGAGGAGGAGGGGAAGGCCGAGGGAAGCCAGCTGTGGCTGCGGTTGCCGTCGGCAGACAGACCGGGGACACCGGGCGGGGCTGCGGCCAGTCCGGGGCACGGAGAGGCGGCGAGCCAGCCAGGTGAAGGCCTGGGAGAAGGGGGCAAGGCGCTGTCGCCCGCCGGCAGCCCCAGCAGCTCCACTGGGTCGCTCTCCCAGAGATCCCACCGCTCCATCAGCTCCCGCGCCGGCCACAGGGGCAGGAGGGTGTCGAACGACGCGGCCGACTGCGTCCTGGACCTGTCGGTGAAGCCCATTGCCGTTAGCAACCACCATCCGTCTTACTTCAGCGGGGCGGCTACGCCGGACAGCCTGCAGAGCCCGCTGGCGGTGAGGGTGAAGGTGGAGAGGGGGGTGGCCTCCGACGAAGACGAGGAACTGGGCGGGAGCGACTACAACATGGAGCACAGCGGCCTCGGTAAGACGCAGGTTCCCAGCGCCAACGGATGCCTGAGCCACCACGGAGTGGGCGGGCCCCTGTCGGCCCAGAGGCGGCTGGGTCTGGAGGCCCACCTGTCGGCGCTGCGCGAGGCGTCTCTGGCGTCGGAGTTGGAGAGGGACGAGAAGCCCCCGGCCTCGGCCGCTGCCAACGAGGACATCCTGGGGGGGGAGAACGAGCACGCCCAGGCCGAAGCGGCCAGCATGGACAACTCGCTGCTGCCTTACGTCTCCAACATGCTGTCGGCCCAGCACACCCAGATCTTCATGTGCCCGCTGTGCAACAAGGTGTTCCCCTCACCGCACATCCTGCAGCTCCACCTCAGCTCCCACTTCAGGGAGCAGGAGGGCATCCGCTCCAAGCCCGCCGGGGACGTCAACGTGCCCACCTGCACCATCTGCAGCAAGACCTTCTCCTGCATGTACACGCTGAAGCGCCACGAGCGGACACACTCGGGTGAGAAGCCCTACACCTGCACCACCTGCGGCAAGAGCTTCCAGTACTCTCACAACCTCAGCCGTCACGCGGTGGTGCACACCCGTGAGAAGCCGCATGCGTGCAAGTGGTGCGAGCGGCGCTTCACGCAGTCCGGGGACCTCTACCGACACATCCGCAAGTTCCACTGCGAACTGGTGAACTCGCTGTCGGTGAAGAGCGAGCCGCTGGCGCTGCCCAACGTCAGGGATTGGGCGATCGAGGACAGCTCCCAGGAGTTATGGAAGTAGAGTCGGATTGTCGGGTTTGAACGAGGCTTGGGGAGGTGAGAGGAAGGTGGCAGAGTTAAGCGGTCGGGGGTTTAAGTGAGTCATGTTCTTATTCGTTGCGACATCTCATTCAACCGCACTTTAATAGCACATGAAAATGTTACTACTGACTTATTTTTACCGTCTGTTTGGGGGTTTCTGTTTTATTTTATTTTGAAGTCCCGTAACAATTTGGCATTAGTTCTCTTCTGTTGTTTTTTTTGTTTTTTGGTGTGTGTGTGTGTGTGTGGCGTCTGAGGACACGGCTCCCTCCCTAAGTGTCTTTTTTTTATTCTTTATTATTATTATTATTTTGTTGTTTTTGGAAGAAATTTCTGCGTGTGTCTGTTTCACCCCAGATACGACACTCCCATCGCCGGCCTCACCGGTTCCACAGGCAACAGGAGTTCATGTCGAACACACTGAAACAACACACTAAATAAAAAAAAAAATAAAAAAAAGAAAACGGGTACTGTGAGGCCGCCGCGCACGCCGCCGTCTGAGTACGTATGCGTGTGCGCGTTTGATTCTGCACTACTCCGGCAAAAGCAAGCAAACGACGACAAACAATAAAAAAACAAACAGATAAACAAAAGAGAAATCACCAATCATGTGTGAGCGTGCGTGCGTTTTTGTGTGTGTTAAATTAGATTTTCCTCCTGGCATGAAGGTGTCGTTGGCGAGCGCTCCCCACTTCTCTCGTTAAGCTCTTTGGTGTGTTGGTGTGTTCAGGGGAAAGCTGACTGACTGACTGACTGATGGCACTCATGCAATGCACAGCCTCCTTTTTTCACTTCCAATCAATCTGAAGTATTTTCTAAAAATGAGAAGACCTTTACAAATATTATTATTATTATTATTATTATTATTGATAGATTTTTTTTTTCTTGAATCTAGCTGGCAGTCTTTAAAACATCTCTTGTTGTAAATGTATTTAATTTAAGGTTGTTGTATATTGTTCTGCTATAGTTTAAAGATTTTAATCCCTTTTTTTTAACTTAATGATTATTATTATTATTATTAATATTATTTTTTGTTACTTTTTTTTGTAATGGGACCTGCTGTTGTTGCATGATGTCCAAACCTGTATATTTTAAAAATGAAAATGTGAATCTGCTGTATAACTGTACACATTGTAATTGAACAAATATTTGACAACAGGCTTTTTTTTTGTTTGTTTTTTTGTCGTTTTCTTTTCCCTCTTTTTCTTTGTGAATACTACTCCAGGGTGTGGTCTGTTTTGAAAAATGAAAAACTGAATATCACTCTCGATTTCGAGGGGGGAGGAAAAAAAATGCATGGAAATTTGATTTGGTCTTAAACTTTTAGGTTGTTTTTGCATCGGAACGGGGGAAGGCAGGGGGAAGATGTTCTAACGGTAAATTTGTTGGTGAAAAGTTTTTAGCTGAGAGGCGACCTGATGAAGCATTTTAAGCACTGATTTGTCTGCTGTGTGTGTGTGTGTGTGTGTATGTGTGTGTGAGAGACCTGGTCTGTGCCAGTCGATCGAACCTACTGAAGCTCTACATCCACCCAGCACTTCTTCGTCCCCCCTGCTCCTCCTCAGGCATCAAATGTCCCCACTGCTTTGCGTTCCCTTCTCTTTTGTCTTCTTCTGCTTCCTGGTTAAGCCGTTTCTTATTTATCTCTACAGATCTGACCTCCTTTTTTGGGGCAGGGGGCAGTCTGATAACGCGGTTTGGCTGAGATGTGAAGGATACCCAGAGAGGTAGAGGAGGTTAAGCCCAAGCTCTCTTGCTTTAAAGTGTAAGGGTCAGATATCTGTGTCACGCCGTTCCTCATCTGTTTGCAGCGGATGCCATAATTTACCTGAGACTTTCCTTTAGAGGAGATGGCAGAGAATTGGCCTAGATCAGGGGTCAGCAACTTTTATAACCCAAAGAGTCATTTTTCGCTCTCGCTAAAAATAAATGGAGTTCTTCAAGTGCCACAAAGCCAACCTGAACCTTTCAAACTATGACAAATGTCATTGAACATTTTAGCAATTTATGGTTAAAGAACCAAATTTTCACTTCTTTTGGTTTCAGAAGAAAGAAAAACACCAATGTTTTACCAGAAGATTACGAAGCTAAAAAGAAATAAAAGTTTGGTCTCATTCTGTTTAAAAAAATATCTTGTACTATTAGTGTCATTCTGTTGTGGAAATCTATAGTTGATAATCCATGAAAGCTGACCTCCTTTATGTAAAAATCACTGCTCAGTATAAAAGCATTTGGACCAATGTTATTAGGAGCCGCAGGTTGCAGACCCCTGGCCTAAATCTGTACAAGCACCTTTTTAAGCTAAAATGCGTGAAAACCTAATTTTGCTGAAAAGATGCCTTTATTCAAAACTGACGTTTCTAAAGCTGTGGAAGTATCTGATACTGGAAAACATTTAGAAATGATTGATGGAAATCATGTAAATGTGCTGAATTCAGACAAATATTGTCTAACTATAGTTTGATTAAATAATTGGACTTGTTTTTTGTTATTTTTGTAGTGATTGTTGTGTTTGGGTTGGGGCTACATCAGTTTAACAATTGCTCTTTAAAAGATGGTCAAGCGTTTGTACAATCCAAAAAGCATTTGGCAGCGATGCAGGCGCGCCAACGTTTCCTCCTCCTCCTTCTCCTCTCAGATGCGTGCGTGCGTGTGTTTGTGCGTGTGTTCGTGCGCGCACGCCACCGTCATCTGGTGGCACCTGCAGGCTTTGCCAACGCAACAGTGTGGGTGACATTGCAGCAGTTTGCACCACATCTTCTCTTTTTTTTTTCCTTTTTTTTTTGGGTCTTGAAATGTTATCTCTTCACTGGCGGCGCCTCTGCATATGGGCTCCTTCCATCCTGCTGTTGTTTTCATCACTACTGCTGCTTTTTTTTAATGTTTTTGTTCCTCTGGTTGTGCTTGACCGCCTTAAACTGCTGTAGTCCAAGCTAATTTTTTTTTTTTTTTAATTTAAATATATTTCTGTTGAAGTGTGAGGTGGAGACGAGGGACCGGCGACCGCCCTGACATGACGTCTCCATCTTTTGCTGTGCTTACTTGAAGGGGAGGGTGGGTGAGGGTTTTTTTTTTGTTTTTTTTGGTAAAAGGTTAAAAACAAAAAAAAAAGTATGAGACAAAAAGGAAGTTCATAGGAAGTCATAAAATGTTGGGAGGCGGTGTTGGAGGGAGGGGGCATATAATGACTGGATCTGTTTTGAAAAAGGACAATCACTGTCTGGAGAAAAACAAACAAACAAACAAACAAAAAAAAACAAGCAGATTTTTTTGAGATATATTTGCTCCCCTGTTGAGATTACAAAATTTCTTTGCTTTTCTTTCGAGGTTCTGTTTCCAATTTTAGTCAATTTTAGCTTTGACAATCATAGCTGGGTTTGTTTTCTTTTTCTCAAGGGGAGTAAATTCTAATTGTATTTAGTTTTGTAATTTTTTTGGTGTGCTGTTGTTGACATTTTTAAAAATTGTGTGCAAAACTGCAATAAATTATAAGAATCCCGAACCTCCGCCCTGGTGTGAAGTACTTTTGTTTCGTTTTTCTGATGGAAAATGTATAAAACGCTAAACGTATTGGTTGCGATTCCGTTTCTACGCGATCACTTCCTCGTTGTTGAGGTTTGCATTTATCGTATCGTTTCTCATTTTTAATTTATCAAGATCACGATAAATTCAAAATAACTGTCCATATCATTGGGATTGTTAGGTTTAATATTTTCTCTCAATGTTTGTCCAATGACAATATTGCTTATCAATACATTTAAGAATATGATTTAATGTGGTTACTGTGTACAGCTTAGGGATATAAATCACACTTCTTTATGTGACTCATGTCCTAAAGAAGCGTGTTAGGAATAGGAATGTTTTTCAAGCGCAGCATTTGTGTTTGTGGGGATTTTTAATCAATGTTATGTCAGTCACAACCATAGAGTTGCCTAAAAAAAAAAAAGAAATAAAGTTTGTATTGCCACTTTTAACGTTATCACAATACTACCACAAAATATCATGATAAAATTTTAAGTCGTCCAGCACTACTTCACTGACTAACTTCATATTTAGAGTACAGATCCTGTTATGTGTTTTTAAGGCAGCTCTTTTCGGATTGGGAAACACATTACCAAAAATGCCTGCTGTGTAAATTTTGATACATTAGGCATGAACATTCCCTAATGTATTGCTAGAAGCTTCCAAAAAAACCCCCCCAAAAAACATAAAATGCATGTAATTTTTTTGATCATGCTGTTAAATAAACTCAAAAATAGAAAGCTCAAATCTCCAGTCTTTTTAAGCGCGTTCCTGCTTCCGCACCGAGCGTCGTGCTGCAGAAGGGCCCAGGCGGGAGGCCCTGGCATCCCGTCCTTCTGTCACTTGCGACGTGGGTGGAAGTCACGTACACACGCGCACAAGATTCAGCGTTTCTGGACACGGAACTTCATCTGAATCTGCGGCGCTGGCTGAGACGTAGGCCGCGTTCGAGAAGAAAATGTGCAGCAGCTTGTCCAGATTCAATTCCCTGCAACAGGCAAGCAAGCACACACCCACACACACACACACACACACAATGCCCTTTCGAAAGATCCTCAAGCACGGGTTTCCAGTAAAGAAATCAGCTTTAGCTAATGTCTTGCTGCTCAGTAAACCTGCTGCTCTTACAGATGCATTAAAAGCCCCTTGCACTCTCAGGCCAAGGCGCAGTCTTCATTAGGCCACAGATGGTCTCCTCGGTAAGCCCCCAACGCACACTCACACGATAAGCTCACTTCTAATCTTTATGACATTGTCCAGTGTCTGATGAACGCCTAACCTTAGTTTAAGAAAGTTACAAGAAATTTAAAAAAAAAATATATATATATATATATATATTCAGCTTTTTTGAAAAAAATTTTAAAGTTCATCTTTTTGTGTTTTTTTTCACTTAACTTTTACAGTGTTGATGCAAACGGCATAAAATTTGACCAGTTCTTCGCTTGCAATTTGTCTCCATGAATTTTTGGGACATTAACTCATTTTCAACGTTTGTCCTTTGAATTAACTCACCTTTACACATGATTTGTATTATCACAACTTTATGTTTGCAACTTTATTCACCAAAACTGGCATTTAAGGGGTTAAAAGTTCAATCAAAAATTTGTTATGTATGGTGAGAAGTGAAATGTAAATACTAAAAACAATATTTATACACAGCGTTTCTATGGCGATCTTAAGACAAGCATTTTATTAGCGTCCAGATGGAGCACATAATGAAGCCCGGTGGGTTAAACAGTGAGGATTAAACTTGA